GCGTTTACAGACACTTATTGCCTGACTGGATAATTTTTTAATTGATTTAATTTATTAAATCCGATAATGAACTAATTAATAAAGAAACATGAGAAAAGTTGTATATAATGCTGTTAGACATTTGAAAGTTTCCTTCTTAAATTAACTTCGTGAAACATTTCTACAAACCAAATTGCTCTCATACAAAGCATTTTTATAAAATATTGTAAGTTTATATACTTTATTAAATTTGTGTGTTTAAAATTTATATAATTATACATATAAATTATGGAATTGAGATGCAGAATATTGGAATTGAGCAAAGGTGCAAAGGTGCAGAAATTGAGGATTTGGTGGTGGCTTTACTTGGCCTCTGCAATCTTCTAACGAAGGAAGGAAAAGCTATGGATGCTGAAAATCCCTTTATTAGGTAATTTGGCTGTCTGTATATGTTTTGGGTGTAGATTTCAATATTTTTGTCTTTTATTTATTAATTTCTTTTTTGTTTTATATTCCATTCTGTGATGAATCTGTAGATTTCTTGACATATATGCAAAGTTGTACGGGAGAATAATGGAAGAGTTTTTGAATGGCTATGTGTTTGTTGGCCCATGTGAAATGTGCATAAGGTGAACTTCGCATTCTTCATTGTATGCAAGTAGTTTTCTTCCTAATTTCATTTAAATTAGTAGGATCATGTTAACACCAGTACTTGTGTGGGGTCAAAAAGTTGCTCATTCTACTATGAGTGGATTGCGGTGAACTTTAAATTTAAAAGTTCATTCATAGATGGAGATCTATTTCAAGTTTTTTAGTGTGGGGTCATTGCCATTTTCATACAGGGAATGCTAATGAAGGCAGTCAATTATATAGAAATGCTCTTCAGGTCCTTACAGATTCAAAATGTATGCCTTTGGATGACAACGTAATGGAAAAGATGATAGATTTACCAGAATTGCTGCATTTAGTGGGAAGGTATGCCTTTGTTTCAGTTCTGCCACTTTTCTAATTAAGAAACCTCTTTGTGCTCAGACTACAATAATTTAACTAGCTATGTTTGCATTTAACAAAATAAATTGATAGGTTGAGAAGTTTTATGGATGTTCTATTATCTTTTAATATCTTTTGATAGATTTGAGTTGACATGTTGATTTAGATGTTCTAAGGCCTGTGATTGCTCTTCTACTGATTATGAAGTGCCTTTCTTTTTTTTATTGGTTCCTTAGAGTTGTCTCTACTTACAGATCTGGGTAAATAACATTAAGTATTAAAATTCATTTGTGAGGATAGTTTGTAGTTTGTATATTTGAAGGTGTGATAATCTTGAACATGCTATTAGGTTATGAATTTGTTTGTTATTGGCTTAATAAGATGGATTGAAATTTGCAATCCATGCAACACGTGAATTTTTGGGAGATGGTCGATAGATTGAAATTACCATAAATAAGATGGTCGATAGATTGAAATTTGCAATCCATGCAGCACGTGAATCATGTAGCACGTGAATTATTGGCTTAATAAGATGGATTGTAACTTGAAATTACCATAATCAATCCTAACTAGATTACCAGAATTACCATAAATAATTACCAGAATTCAGAAGAATACCATTTGTTTTGTGTGTTTCAATATGTATCATAGAAATGAATGGTTAGAAATAAATTATGTGTTTACAATATGTTATAAGTTTTGAATTTGATATGCTTAATTGTTACCTAGATGATATTCTTTCGTATTGGTTTTAAAAGGTGCTTCCAATCTAACTTATTTTAGGTTACCTGGAGAGATGCATAGGGAGGTCCAACGGGGCTATCTTCCATACATTTGTACCATATTATAATAGGCTATTTCAAATATTCAGTTAAATTTTGTGTGCTTCCAGGTATTTTTTTAATGTGGGGGGGGGGCTTTGATTTACTTTTACTGAACAATTGAAGGTATTTATTAAATGTGTCTATATATATGTGTGTGAATTCATACATAGCTGTATATTTCTGCAAATGAAACTTACTGACTTATTGATAGCTTCAGCTCTAGATTAATTGGTCACTAAATTGTTCAACTTCAGCTTAATTAACCTTGGTCTGAACTGAACCAAGCCCATCTAGGCTGAGCTTGGTTTTCACATGCTTGGTCAACCTTGCTCATGTACCTAATGGATTTGGTTTTTAAAGTCCCATGTTTATTTCAAATCTATGTGAAGCCATATTGAATGCCTTATTATGTTGTTTTGTAATCTTGATAGGTGCAATTAATTCCACTTTAGAATATGTTATAAGTTTTGAATTTGATATGCTTAATGTTACCTAGATTTCGTATTGGTTCTAAATAGTATTGGGATTATATTTATAATAAATTTAAATAGATATGGGATTAAATAGTGTTGGGATTAAATTTAATTTTATCAAATTAAAAAATAATATTAAATAGTGTGGGATTAAATAGTGTTCGGATTAAAAAATAAATTTAAATAGTGTAGGGATTAAATTTATATTAAATTTGTAATTTTATCAAATTAAAAAATAAATTTAAGTAGTGTGGGATTGCTTGAAGAATCGACTTGATCAGCATAATACATGGGGGCGGTTTCAACCACTCCGCTGTGGTTGAGATTGATGAATTTAATTCTTATTTCGGATAGATATTGAATTTAATATATAAAAAACCATATGAAATTGGCGATGGGTTACCGATGTATAAAAAGTACATAACACAATGGATTGATTAAATTGTTGTTCATCGTTGAATGATCCATTAGAGGGAAGAAAAAAAAAAGGGGGTTGAACCTAGATCAAAATAGCTGTGACTTGGTAAAATAAGGCTGATGACGACCAAATGATGAGCTGATGCAAGTAGGATTTTTAGTAACATATGTATGTAGAAGGCAAGAAAGCACATAGAAAGAAATCAGTGCCATAAATTCACATATTTTGAATATTTATTTCACAAATTTTGAATACCCAACTCACCTACTCCAAACTTTACCTAACTTAGAACCCACTCACAGTATTCTTTTATTCTGAATGTAACACTCTAATAAAATCAAAAAAATGCATTCATAAAATGGAGTGTATGGTGTGAGCCATAACCAAAATGCAATTTTGAGTTCTAACTGTTGATTAAACAACCTATCTTTACAATTAAAAAAGAAAAACACAAAATCTCTTGGTAAATATAGCCAGCCTATGAGATTTGTTGAAAGTGAATGATTGATATTTCACGAAGTTAATATAAGAAGGAAACTTTGAAATGTCTAAGAGCATTATATACATTCATCTAACTTTTCTCATGTTTCTTTATTAATTAGTTCATTATCGGATTTAATAAAATTAAATCAATTAAAAAAATTATCTGGTCAGGCAATAATGTTTGTAAATGCTGCATAAAAAGTGCAAAACACATCACAGATTCACATAACTCACACACAGCATCACATAACATCACAGATTCCTGGGCAAAGACACACACACACACAACATCAGGTGGACTGCGACCTTTTACCTCATGTATTTCGAACCTTCTTGTCGGCGATGGCGGGATAGGGCGTCGGCAAGGGACGACGGGGGACAACGATGCCCTCCTCTTTCTCTCCTCTCACTGAATCGAAGAAGGTATGGGTTTGTTGCAAAACAAAGGCCTAAAATGGGGAAGGGGGGTGAAGGAGCGGGAGATGAAAGGAGGAAGACAGGAATAGAGGGTTCGAGTTTGGGTCTCCGGCGAGGGCGAGGGCGAAGGAGAGGAGAGGTGGTCGGTGGTCATCGCAAGAGAAGAGAGAGTAGCGTATGAAAGAGATAGGAGGAAGAGAGAGATGTATATGTGAAAGAGATGTATTCAAGAAGAAGAACACAGAGGGAGAGAGAGATAGAGAGGGAAGGTGGGTAGGTGGGAAAGAGATAACATGCTTTAGGCAGAGAAGTCTTTGGCGGGAGATCTATTGATCTCAACCATTGAAATAAATTTGGGATTAATCTCAGTCATTGAATTAAAATATATCTCTGAGACATTTTTATACATTTTCAAAAAATCTCTTCCCTTATTATATAGATTAGGTGTGTCAGCTTGCTTATGTTATTACTTTCGTTATTAGATCTTTGAATGGGTTGGATTGGGTGGCTTAGTTCTTTCCACAACTATCCAAACTAAACAAAACTAGAGCCTAATGGGCTTCTAGGAATAATTCCCTCTTATTGGGGGTTAAACTGAACCTACCTTCTTAATTTGATTAATGATTGCTCTCAAGAATGATAATAAATACAAATTAGAAAAAGGAGTTGGTTCAGCTAAAGTTTAATAAATCTGCTTGCCTAGGCCAAATCAACGCATATCAACTTTAACCCTTATAAAGAATTTTGATCTTGTTTGTTGAATTATGTCGAGTTTAATTGTTATGTCTGTTCGTTACTTTAGTAGTTCTAGTACTTAGAATGATATCCTATTTCATTTATTTGCAACGGCATGTTGTGCTTGGATTGATATCGCAAATTATTAAGGTAAGATTCTTTCAATTACTTATGCAAACCTTTCACAGATATTGGATTTAAAATCATGATCAGTGAAAAAAATTAAAGGTTCTGAAATTATTCACTCAATCAATTATCCAAATCAATGTAGTGTTTCTCCATACGTAATATATATTTATAAGAAACCAATATCCATGAGAAAATAGAAAAAATAATAAAAATTACTAAAGATTTTTGGATTCTGTGTTGAGTTGGCTAATACAGAAAAGAAAGCACATGTTGCTGCTGCTGTTGGTAATCCAGGTATGTGTTCTCGAGGTTTGTTGACTTGCAAATGGTTAACAACCAATTTGCAGTTATTTATCCATTGGTTTTTGACAACTTAATGCCTTGACTGTTAGTGTCATCACATCAAATCAGCATTACATATTTGGCCTTAAATTCGAAGTTTGTGCATGGGGAAGAAAACCAGCCAACTGCATATCTACAAACCAGGGGAAGGAAAATTTCATATTGAAATAAATTATACCTGTTTCTTTATATGGTTTTCTTTGTACATCCTACAATGAGAATACCCTTAAAGTACCTTTTCAGCCCGTTGACTTAATTGTCCATCAAAGCTATTGACGAGCACTCAGAAGGCATGTGAACTTGTGTTGAATATTATGAATTGTGCTCATAAGGATATATATTATCATCAATGCTATGAATTGTACCATACTGCCATTATAGAGCCATCAGTTGGCCAGGGCACCTGCGAGCGGACTTTGGCTTTTTGAGGATCTTGTAAGTGCTTGATCTACCTCTTCAATCCTTGTTTGAAATCGACATTCAAATCTTCTTGTATGCTCCTTGTTTTTTTAAAAGCTTATTTCAGATTTGCGAAACAAATTCAAAAGATAAATTTGTCGAAACAAAGTAAAATCTAGTTGAAATCAAGGTAGTAATATGATAATTAGCATATTACCCAACCATACAAAATGTTCCATTGACTATCTATGAAATGACAATACTTCTCCAAGACTCCAGAAGCAAACAATATGATGAAAAGCTATACAAATTTATTGTGGCTGTGGTAGTTTTCTTCACTAATTCTTCACTTTGATTCTTATATTTATAAATATATTTTTCTATGCTGCTAGTTATATGTACTTGATACACTAATGCCTCTTGTATTTTTGTGCACTTATTACGGACATTATCCCATAGTAATTAACTTTATGATATCTTGAATTGAATTGGCATTAGGGTTATTCATAGTCGGCCATCCTCAGTAAAGCTACCATCAACCTGTTGATTATGCTGATGCACTAAAGCCTTCTGTCATTGCACTGCCTCTACATGGATGTAAGTTTGGAACTATTTTACATGTGAGACACTTTTATCAATTCTTTAAGCTTTTAAACAAATACCTTTTTCAATTGTAACCAGTGACCAAGTTGAATGTATTAGTTGAGCAAAAACATCAAAATTCAAATGAAGAATTTTGATTTTATTACGCTTCTCATTACTTGGATTGGGATTTTTAAAGTTTCTGCTCAACTTAGCAGCCACCTAGAAGTAAACAGGATTTTTTTAATGGATTCTTCACTCTATCTGCTTTTTGGGTTTTTGATTATACTCCATTTGGTTTCCGAGAAAATCTAGTAAAGAGAGGGAAAATTTTGAATTTATTAGATTTCTCATTACCTGATTTGGGAATGCAAAACGTTTTACTCAACTTAGCGTAGTAGAAGTAAATAGCATTAGTTAATTGAATTCTTAATTTTGTTGTTTGTTTGGATTATGGGAAAATCGATGCATTAGTTACTATCCTCTCTCTATGTACTTCTTCGGTTTTTTTATTATACTCCGTTTGGTTGTTGAGTAAATGTAGTAAAGAGAAATGGAAGAATTTGAACTTTTTAAGTTTCTCATTACTTGGATTGGGATTTTAAAATTTTCTAGCTCAACTTACCCTTCTAGAAGTAAATAGCATTAGTTAACTGAATTCTTAATTTTGTTGTCTGTTTGGATGATGAGAAAATGGAAGAAGGAATTGCAATTTTAAGATATATTTTGATTTTAAAAACTGAACTTGAGCTTTAAAAAAAAAGTAGTACCTATGCTCATTCGAGCAGGGGTTATATTTTTTTTAGGTTTTTAGGTAATGACAAAGATAATGCATTGAAGTGCATTTGTCTATGATTGGATTGAAGTTTGTCAATTTCTTCAATTTTAGTTTTAGTTTTTGTTGGTTTCACATCTATATTAATTCACTGACAATATCAGTACATTAGATTGATTTCTATGTTTTCTTTTAGTTTTAGGGTTTTTTTTGGTTTCATTCACAATAG